CTTCCAACACACATGTGGCTACATTTCCTTTTGATTACTGTGATATTGTTACTTGTACTTTTTTTCACAATCACAACACTCTGCAATATGCAAAGACATACCAAACAAGAAGGACCCGTACATTTGTGTAACGGGCGGTCATTGGGGACATCACTGTAGCTCATGGAAAGCAGCAAGTTGGAACACAGGCCGACCATGGGGTAACAGACCACAGACTGCCTTAGACCGAGTTGACAGATACGGGAAACCTTTGTTATACCAAATGACTTTGTGTAAACCAACAGGGTCTACTCCAATAAAATTGACCTTAAACATAGCACACGCCAGCCCAGGTGACGCCGGGGAATACGTAATGGGAATGTATTGGAAAGGGAGTGGCTTGTACAAGAAGTTGGGAACATTTTATTTGCAAGACATGCTTACATCAGCTGACTGGGTAGGGTCAACACACATGACAGTAAATCTCATCAAGACTCTCAAGGACATGGTGGCTATTGCCAATCCCACATTTGAAGACACTATGGCTGTGGAGACTGGTTTTTCAGATACTAATCTATGGCTTGAATGGATGAGGTACAATGCTAACTCTCATAATAAAACTGTTATGTTTGTGGTGGAGCTAGGCCCCACCTAGGTACAGTACCCCTAAATCTACCCCTGGATGTTGAAACATGTTTCTTAAGCCTCCATGCACAAACAATTGTAAATTTGTCACCATGTGAGTCATGGAAAAAGGCTTACCCAATTACGCAAGGGAACACCAGACCACCTGATGGAGTCACCGTGTACCCAGGTAATTACACATGCTATACAATGCACGGAGCCACAGGTAGATTCGTAGGCAAATTTCCTTCTGGTTACTGTGCAACTTATCGGAATCCACCCACAACATTATTGGTAAATCAGATTAAGTCTGTGGTAGATATCTATTGGTTATGTGGTGACATGCAACTCAGACCAAAAATTACTGGTTTATGGTGGGGAGAATGTACTCTAACTAAAGTTATAATGCCCATTCACATCTTCCCTGATAATCACCAAGGTCCGCATGATTCTTCTTGCACTCATCTTAGAGTGAAAAGAGACAGTCCCATACGAGGTAGTTTTGACCCACACGTGTATATAGATGCTATTGGAGTACCTAGGGGGTTACCAAATGAGTTCAAAGCCAGAGATGAAGTGGCAGCAGGATTCGAATCCTTGATCCCACTTATCACTGCTAATAAAAAAGTCAACTGGATTAATTACATCTACTACAACCAACAACGCTTTGTCAACTACACTCGAGATGCCCTACAGGGCTTAGCCAAGCAGTTACAGGCTACCTCTCACATGACATTCCAAAACAGGATTGCCTTAGATATGATTTGGGCCGAAAAGGGGGGCGTATGTAAAATACTCCCTGAGACGATGACGTGTTGTACTTTTATTCCAGACAATGCTGGTCCTAATGGTAAAGTGACTATGGCCATAGTGAAATTAGAAAATCTCTCTGACGAATTAAAAAAGAATTCAGGGGTTCCCAATTCTTGGGATAAATGGTTTGGATGGATGAGTGGATGGCAAAGGACTCTTTTCCAAATAGAGATGGCAGTTCTACTGTCATGATCTTCTTCCTCTTCCTAACTTGTGTGGTTCCACGTGTGCAAAGGTATTTACAAAAGACCGTAGACCAGACTATTGACCGCACCACACCTATATATATACACCAAGATGCTGATGATATTGACTGTGACACTCCACACACACCACTTCAGTCCCATCATGTCAAACAGACAACAACTACCACCTTATAGGGACAGTATAGGGATAGCGTCTGTCTCTACGGGCAGGAGTCTGACGCAGGAGATGTAGTGGGTTAGTCGCTGCGGGATACCTGCGCAGTGAAGTGTTCGAGGCCTGTTAAGACAGATGAGCTGCAGCCAAATTAGGGACATTATTAGGGTTAGCTAGTAGTTGGCTGTCTTTTCTTTAGTAAATAGTCATTTTAAGGGGGGACTGTTGTGGACAAAAATATTAACCTAATCCAAATTAGTAAAATGTCTATTTACTCAACATAACTACA